AAAAAAAAATCTTAAAAAAAAACTATATATAAGCTCAAGGAAAGGAACATTAGCACTTACATAACAGTCCCGCTTGTAAGAATCGAACCAAAACGAACTTCAATATAAGTTAGGTATTCGGAAGCGAAACGGGAAATCCAAACAGACACTTACTCTAACACAGAAAACTGTAGTCTTACGGCAAACGACAACAACCAAACGATAAACAAAAAAAACTTCAACTACTCTTCTCTAAAAATCGCACACGTCAACATTAAAAAAGGGTCCGCGTGATTTGCTTACGAGATTGCTTCGTAACCTCAAAGCACGCGCACGCGAGTCGCGCGCGCACAAGTTTGTTAACGTCTTCTTAACAGCAGGCAAAACCGTGGCAGCTGTTACAGTGGGGATGTTATTCCACAGACCTGAAACATTAATATTGTACCACAGAAGTATAGTATGAATATAATCTGGCAAATGAAGAAGTATGGATGGTTTACCAGTTCATTAGCTTACCTGTCGATATTGTAGTGGTAGCTCTAGTGGGTAGTTCCGGCTTCAGTGATATTGATGCTACTACCGATGGTTTCGGTGATATTCGAGTTGGTGTTGATGTTGGTAGTGATACTAGCGCTGATAGTAACAGCAGCGTGGATGCCGATGACGTGTCGACCACTAACTTTACACAGACTTGTTGACCTTCATGTAAGAAATTTGCTGATATACACCCTGACAGTAGTGTAGTGCAATTCTGTAAGTGTCCCTTAAAAGATTTTAATTAATTACCAAGTCATAATCAGAGTCCAATAATGGCTTCTGCTTGTGGACATTGACATGTAAAACTGATCCTTTAACAAAAGCCTTTTTTTAAACTTCTCTGCTACTATCTAGTTCATTCCATCAACTGTGTTATAATATTTACCTGTGTAACCGGGAACACAAATGCATGTAAAAGATCCAGGAGAGTTGATGCAGGTGCCACCATGGTGACAAGGTGTGATTATATCCCGCTTGCACTCATCAATGTCAATACTGCAATTCTCACCAGTCCACCCTCTTGGACATTTGCAACTATATTGTCCAAATGCATCAATTGAACAAATAGCATCTCCATAACAAGGTTTATAAAAACATTGATCATCAAACTGGCACACAGGACCTGGTAGATATTAATTTGAGCACACGTAAGATAACCAGAAAAGAAAAAAAACCTGTGCCTGGATGGTCAGGCTTTAGCAAGTACACAAAGAAAGCTGTCTTTTGAATCTAATCAATTTCGACTCTCAAAAGCTCTGTTACTGTAACTCATTCAAGCTTTTCTCAGTACATGACATCCTTAATATCATTTCCACAAGTAACCAAGCACTTATTATAAAGTAGAGAAAGATCCAGACTTACTTTCATATATACAGACTTCATGTTTATTTTAGGGTCTCTATTGGTACTAACCTCACATGTATACAAACACTATAATTATACTTACCCACTTTTCCAGGAGGACAGATACAATCAAATTTTCCAATTCTATCCACACACGTGCCACCATTGAAACACAAGGGAGTATTTCCAAAAGACACACAGTCATCCTCATTGATGGAGCAATCAGGTCCAACCCAGCCAAATATACAACTACAAATGTAGCCACCAAAAGTATTTGAGCAAGTTCCACCATTTTTGCATTGACTATTCACTTGGCATTCATCCATATCATATTGACAATTGTCTCCAGTGAAATTTGATGAACAACTGTCGATGAAGAATATAATTTGGTAAGGGTCTCTCCAGATTTTTAGCTAATAAAAAAATTTTGCTGACGAAATAAAACTTGTCCCTAAATTGAATAAGCAAATGGTAATTAAGATGCATCGATTGCAATGAGATTTAACTCTTCCACCTCTAAGAATAACTAGCATCTAGTTTTTCCTTCCAATATCACCCATGAATCAAACATAAAGGTCATAAGAAAACGGAAATGACCACTAACTAAGGAAGCTTTTGATTGTAAAACAACTTCTCCTTGTCAGTACCTTACGAAATGTGTAGAGAACAGTATGGAGAATATGCGAAGTGAAGTTAGAGTGTCAAGGGCTAATTTACGAAATAAAACTTAGCCTCACCCATCAAGCCAAATATAATTTCTTTAGAAGGGTATTCATTATCACCTGGCTATATCGTGTTTTAATTTGGTGCAATCTGTTTTAATTATGTTATAGCTTAGCAAAGACAAAAACATATTTATAAAGCTCCTTAAACATAAGAAGAGACCTGTGACTTGGTCACAATGCCTTGTTCAAACTTTATACACCCCCTGGGATATTTTCATTCATTGCTGTAATGCACTTTCCGGATTGGTTTTGGAATCCTGTACATACATAAAAAAAGGTCAAACTTATGCTTTCATACTGCCGCCATCTCCCTTTAAGGCTTCACAAATGAATGAATAAAACATGCTATATTTTCCACTCAAAAATTACTACCAAATTAACATTTATACATCCAAAAAGTCTGTCCACAGAATAAGGTACACATGTAGCGTTTAAGAGGCACATTCTTTTGTTAACGTAATGGATAAATAGTACCAATCGCAGCAAATAAGTCTAATGAAATACCATTATTGGCAAAGAGGAAATGTTTGGCACATTCAGCTGTAGTTTGTATTGCTAATGAAACAACTAACAATGAAAGCCATATTCAAAACTCAATGCCAACAATTCAGACTCAGTCACACAGGCAAATATTCCTGATCATCAAACTTTATCGCATAACTTTTTGATGTTGTTAGCAACAAATATTAAGAAGAACTCTATTTCTCCTGTGAAATCGTTGAAGTCTATGATCGGTCGTTCGCCTATGAAAATGTCTCACTTGGTAAAAATCTTTGCGCTAACTCAATTACACTTGGTTTCCAATTCATAATCGTAAGTTAAATCACTAATCTGGAGAAATTTTCAATCGCAATCAATTTTAATTAGCCACGATCAAGAAATATGATAAACCCCTTCAACGTGTTTACCCTACGAGAGTTGAGTATCTATGGTAAGACCCAAGGATTTAGTCTTGTCGACTCTCTTGATAATTTGGTCAACAATTCTGATTTCCACATCGTCACATTAGGCAGATAATCTTTGTCCTGATCCAATAATCAATAGCTCTGTTTTAGGAACATTTAGACTGAGTTTGTCGACTTTCAGCCAGCTAGCTTAATCTCTGTTAACGTCCTAACAGATAACGTAAGATTGGTGTCATCGGTAAACAGTCTTGGCACGGCGCCTCGCAGGGAGTTGGAAAGATCATTAATTTAAATTAAGGCCCGGTTTAAACGTCGAACTTCACATGTGCCAAACTAAACTCAGAAATTAAATGCATGTGAAGTTCGACGTCTAAATCAGTTGGGTATGATGGCAGATTTTAATTAAATTCGACTTCCGTCGCATCTTCAACTAAGCCAGTCGAAGATTCCACTCTGATGCGACACCTCATTTAAACGTCGATCTTCACATGTGCCGAACTAAATGCATAAATTATTTTAATTATATTTTTTCCCGCGAATCTAATTTTGGCTAAATGACATACGCAAATTGTAACCGACGCGAAATGGCGGCAAACTAAGGCGGTACCGTATGAGCGGCCGTCACCACCAAAAATACAAGGATGTCATATAGATCCGAGTTATAGACAGTCTAGTTTTCCTTCATGAAACAGAACACCCTAAACATAAATAGTTCAGCCAAATGATAAACGGTCTAGTTGCTCATGTCGAGTTGGAGCATGATATTGTGAAATGGACTAGCTAAATTGCGAATAGCCTAGCACTCACTTGCTATACAGTACACAAACGATGTAGCGTAGCTTCAAATGACTCAGGGTAATATCGAGTAGCACAGCGTACGCAAAAACATTGTAGCGTTGGGTGAAATGGCTCAGGGTAGTGCCGAATGGTACAGCGTACATACAAACAGCGTATTGTAGCTTTGCGTGTAAAGCTCAGCGCAACGTCGAATGGTACAGCGTACACACAAATGGTGTAGCGTTGCGTGAAATTGCGCAGCGTTACGTCGAATAGTACAGCGTACATACAAACAATCAAATGGTACAGCGTACACACAAATGATGCAGCGTTGCGGAAAATGGCTCAGTGTAATGTACAATGGTACAGCGTACATACAAACAGTGTAGCGTTGCGTGAAATGGCTCAGCGTAATATCGAATGGTACAGCGTAAACACAAATGGTGTAGCGCTACGTCGAATAGCTTTGCAAAACATCAGACGCTCTAGCTGGATATTAAATTGCTTAGCATTGCATGAAATATTTCGATGTTGCGGCTAATCGTCGAGCATGCTTGTGACGTGACGCGAAGGCTATCTCGCCGAAACTACAAAAAATACAAACCGCAAATGGAACAGCGATCTGCTGGGGGAATGACGTCATCGAAAGTGAAAGTATAGTCGCTGTGTTGAAAAGTCTTAACTTCGTCTTGCCATAAAGCACAGGCAATTTGGTAAGTTTCTCCTCTTTTTTTCCCTGACGATATTGCGTTTATTCGTTGTCGTTCCAAAACGTGTGTCGGGAAATTCTGATATTTGAAAAATTTGTCCCGTGGCGTCCATTTTACGCAACACGACTCGCAGATCAGTTTTTAGCTACTCCAACTTTAGATTCCGATATCTATGCAACCAATCAGAATATCAAAAAAGTCTGACACACTTTTGTTGATCGATGCTTTGTGAATGAGACTGTGCAGCCATTTTGCTTGTGCTGCAGCATCCGATATCCGATGAATTCAATAGAGGAACATTTGCTCGTTTAACGCCTTACCGGCTCTTGACACTTCCTTGAAAAAAAAGTCTTTTAAATTATATTTTTATCGTAATTTACATTTATTAGGCTTTCTCCTGACATGTAGTTTGCTGGGATTTTAGTGAAACTAGCGCGCGTACGAATTTTTTCCCGAAGGACACCCGCGAAGGTTGGAAGTAACCTTAAGTTTATCTTAGATATTTTCGGCACCCGTTATGAAGCTGATTTTATTTTTCGTCAATTGTGAAAGGATCGTTCTCCCCCCTTCCCTTTACCACCCTCTTTTATGTCTGAACGTTTTCTTACTAACTTTAAGGCAGACCTACCTCATCCAGGAAGGTATGTATGTGCTAAAAACCACTTCACTCGAAAAAAAAAGTTGCTTTGGCAAACACTACATGTTATATTGAAAAATTTCAAAACAGATCAAGGATATCAGTTTTCTTACGATGGTGTCCAAGACACACACAAAACTCAACCTCTCTCGTACTATTACAATGTTCAAAGAGCCTCTGCAGTTAAACTCTAGGTGAAAAGTAAGCGCGAGTCAGAAAAGAAAAAGAGAGCTCGGCAATCGATATTTAATGCGCGTCATAACATTCAGGCTCACCAAAGCGTGTAAACTGTGGTAAACCGGGAGGCCGGCAAACCGTGATAGAATCCACTCTCGTTGCTATTCTAAAGTAACGCTTTCATGAGCGACAACGAATAAATGCAATACCGGCACGGAAAAACAAAGAGGAGAAACTTACCGAATTGCCTCTGCTTTGCGGCAAGGCGAAGTGAAGACTCTTAAACATAGCGATCACACTATGGGATGGTTTCGCGCCAGTCTTCGCATTCGATGAAGTCATGCCTCCCAGCAGACTGCTGTTCCATTTGCGGTTTGTATTTTTGGTGGTTTCGTCGAGATAGCCTTCACGTCACGCCCCAAACAACCTCGACAATTGGCCACAACATCGAAATATTTCATATAATGCTAAGCAATTTAATTTTCAGCTAGAGCGTCTGATGTTCTGCGAAGCTATTCGACATAACGCAACACCATTTGTGTCTACGCGGTACCATTCGACATTACGCAGAGCCATTTCACGCAACGCTACATTGTTTGTATGTACGCTGTACCCTTCTACATTAAGCTGAGCCATTTCACGCCACGTTGCACCATTTGTGTGTACGCTGTACCATTCGACATAACGCTGAGCCATTTCACGCAACGCTACACCATTTGTGCGTACGCTGTACCATTCGACATTACGCTGAACCTTTTTCACGCAAAGCTACGTTGCTTGAATGTACGATGTACCATTCGACATTACGCTGAGCCATTTCACGCAACGCTACACCGTTTGTGCGTACGCTGTGCTACTCGATATTACCTTGAGTCATTTGACGCAACGCTACACCGTTTGTGTACTTTATAGCAAATGAGTGCTAGGCTATTCGCAATTTAGCTAGTCCATTTCACAATTTCATGCTCCAACTCGACATGGGCAACTAGAACATTTATCATTTGGCTAAACTACTTATGTTTTGGGTGTTCTATTTCATGAAGGAAAACTAGACTCTATAATTTGGCCACGCCATTCCTTTATTAGGTATGCTATCCTGCAGTTGATCCTTAAACCATCTTTGTATTTACTGATCTATTTGACATCCTTGTATTTTTGATGGTGACGGCCGCCAATAGGCTACTGTTGCGAGGTCTGTTTCAAAGGAAAAAATGGAAGAAGAAGAGATAAAGGCCTCAAACTCGCATGAGCATCGTTCTTCTGCTGGAGAATCCAAGAAAAGGTAATTATTCTCAATGATATAAATGCTATAACGTTTGAACTTAGTATTCTTTTTTCATTTTTCACTATATTAAATATTGTCTCACTAGTTCTGTGTTTATGTTTTTAGAAATCGTTGCATAGAAAATGTTTGATAGCCAGAATATATTCACTT